CCCCTATCAACCCCCCACCCCCCGCCCCCCGGGTTTCCCTTTTGTTTTGCTCCAAGCAGCAGCCCCCGCCTGACGTCTCTGTTTACCATTCGCCGGGGGAGCCATCTGCGCACGCGCCTAGAGGGCCAGTTGGGAAATCGAGTTCTTCAGTCCTGCCACCCTGGTCAGTCTCGAGGACTACATCTCCCGTCCTACTTCGCGGCCAGGAGCCCGATATGGAGAGGAGAGTAGCGTGGCAGGATATAGGGAGGTGGGATTATTAGAGGTCGTCGCGGACTCCTTTTTTTTCTTAAAAATCATTTCCTCCTTTCTCCCCGTTCCACCCACTCTCCTGTGATTTGGGGTCCCCTAGGTAGCTGTGTTGAGAGGTGCTAGACCTTTCAAACTTCCTTCAGTTAAGAGAGGGCAGAAGGAGAAAATGTGGGGTCTATGAGAAGCAGAAAACTGAGAAGCAAGGAACTGACTAAAAATAGGATGTATATATACATGTTGGGGAGTTGGGTGGAGGGCTTGTGCAACGTAACCTAAACAAATGGTTAGCTGATGGTAGTGCCTCACCCCTCCTCCACCTATCCCGAGGTCACACTGAAAGTGCTGTCGCTGACCAGTTTTCTCCCATTGGTTCTTCTGGCCTCCCGTTCAGTACTGGTATTCGCCAGGTTTCCATCTTCAACTGCTTCACTTTTCATTCAGCAGGTCCAAAACTGATCTCATTGTCTGTTTTTGCACCCACATTCCTATCTTCTGGCTACCCTTATCTCTGATTTCCGTTAATGGTTGTTCTGGTCCACTCAGTCTCCCAAGCTAGATTTACCCTTCATCTTTTCATCTTCCTAACTTTTACATCCAATCCCAGTTCAAGCCCTAATTTATAACCAGAGTTAAATTGCAAGATCATCTTAATTGGACTTCCTTCCATCAAGCTTTTTTCCACTACACTTTATATCCTGTGCTGCCAACAAAGTTATCTTTGAAAGAAAACACACCTGGTAAGAATAGCTAAAATTTATAGAGCCCTTACTATGTGCCGGAGTCCTGGTGGCCCAGTAGTTAAGAGCTCAGCTGCTAACTGAAAGGTCGGCAGTTCGAATCCACCAGCCGCTCCTTGGAAACCGTATGATTTCTACTCTGTCCTATAGGGTGGTTATGAGTCAGAGTCTACTGGACGGCAATGGATTTGGTGTTGGTTTGGTACTATGCGCCAGGCACTATGTAATTGTTTTACATACATTAGCTCATTTACTCCTCAAAACAACCCTGTGAAGTAGATACCACTATTATTCCCATTTTATAGACGAAGACACTAAGACTCAGAGATTGAGTGACTTGCCCAAGGTCAGACAGTTGAGACAAGAGAACTGGGATCATATCACTTATATGTCACCATATAATTTCCCTGCTTAAAAACTTTCTCTGGTATCCCGCATTGCCTATGTGATAAAGTTGAAAATCCTTAGCAAGGCATACAAGACTCTTCAGGTTCAAACCATATTCCACCTTTCCTGTCTCATCTTTCATTAGACACACTAAGTTCCAACTGGTCCGAGTTTCACACTATTCCTTGGATATACCATACCCTTTTATATCTTTCCTTCCGCATTCTGGGAAGTCCACCCTCTCATCATTCCATCCACCCTCTCAAGTCTCTTATTCTGGAAAACTCTTATTCAGCCTTCCCTGTCTCCCTCAGGCACAGTTAGTTCTCCTTTTTCTACATTCCCAAGCAGGTTGCACAGGCTTGTGTTATATAACACAAACCATATTGTATTGTAACTATTTGTTTACTTGTCTGTCTCTCCCACTAAACTGTAAGCTCTGTGAAGGCAGAGACAACTTTTATGTATCTGTGATTCCAGCTTAGCACATAGTAGACAGTCAATAAAGGTTGGTTGAATGAATGAATGGGATCAGAAATCAAATGACATTATACTTGTACATTTAACAACTTTTTAATGAATGTATTATATGTATTTCCCGAAATTCTCCTGCTAGACAGCAAATCCCTAGGGGAAGGGACTATAATTTAACTTGTCTATATAGTGCCTAGCATTATACCATTTACTGTGGTTGCTTGAGACATGCTCTGTGATGATGAGGCCTCCTTCCAGTGAGGAAGAATATCCACACATTCAGCAACCTGGGATTCCTCAGAGGTGGCAGCACGTTGGGCCTTCAAAGTGACATTAGCCTGCTCGTGGTAACATGAGCTTTGTGCTCATTCACCATCTTGGTTCTCCATATTCCTACCTCCTTCTACCCCAACATGCATTTGTTTGTCCTTCACCTGTCATGTAGGGGTGTTTTAGGATACAGACTTCTCCTGATTCATGGAGCCACAGGGGCTGGTGAACCCAAGATCAGCTGGTCAGAGAGCAGGGCTCTTGTTCACAGGCTGCAAAGATTGATGAATCCCAAGATCAACAGGCAAGACTGAAGGTAAGTTGCTAGCTCAAGTCCTGAGAACTGGAGGTCAGAGGAACAGGAGCCAGCAGCTGCAGGATCCACAGTGAGCAAAATCCCACGAGCCTTGCCAGAAAGTCCACTTATATTCGATGCAGACCACATGCCCGAGGAAACTCCCTTTCAACTGATTGGCTACTCACAGCAGATCCCATCACGGAGATGATCACATTATATCAAATCTTATCATGAAAGTGATCACAATATCATACAACTGCCAAACCACTGAGAATCCTGGCTCAGCCAAGTTGACACACAACCTTTACCATCACAAGGGGGCTACACAGAAGACCATTTAGTCCTACCTGAGGTTCAGACTAGAGAGATGGGACATAGTTTCTCACAATGCCTGCAAACATTTCTTGCATATGCCTCTTCCTCCTCCAGCCCAGCACTGGTAAGTGCTGCATGAGTGGTAAATTCCACAGAGGAGAGCCTGGTGGACACTAGGTCACAAGGTGCTCTCTTCTAACCGAAACAGGTATGGTGGCAAATCATGCAGAGCTGCTGAGATAGGGAAATGGTAGGGAGGAGCAGGCACCTGTCCTGGCTTGAGTATATCTTGCATTGTCTCCCTTTGTGCATTTGTTTGAAAAGGTCCACCTCTCCACCAACTCATGTCCATCATGTCCTTAAATTTCCAACTCAAAGCTGAAAACTTACATGCTCTTGGAAACTGTTCCCTGACTAGCCAAACCTGACAGATCACTTGTCTACTTTGTATCTCCTGAACCTCCGTGAACTGTTTGTATTCTTTAATTTTGTGCTTGTGGTTACATCACTTTTCATTTCATGACGGTATGTTGTCTTCTCAACTAGGTTATAAACTCTGCAATCAATCAACAAATGCATATTGTTTAAGATGAGAATATACCTTGAAACCCTGGACAGGTAAAAATGACCATAAACCACAGGGACCAGATGATTTAGAAGGGTGAGCTAAAGGATCAGTGAGATAATAAAAACATCCCGACTTTAAAGCATGCAGCTAGAGAGGTCAGGGTTACTCATCTTATTACTGTGGGAGTGTTAGAATATATGTTAATCAAGAGACAGAGTTAGCAAGGTGGCCTTAGAAAATAGAAGAGACATTGGTCAGGAAACAGGACAAACAGGAGGCCCCCAGAAAACCACTGTAGTTATAAGTTAAGAGCAGATATGACAGGATATATATAGGGTGCACAGGCCTTTCTTCCAGTTGAAAGCCCAGAGTTTACGTTCTCAACTGGCTCCCCATTCATTGCTTGTTTTTTCCTCTTTTTTTGGACTAAGGTTTCTTTTTCTTAAATTAAACTCAGGTTTAGTGAGGTATGATTTATAGGCAGTTAAAATTTACCCTTTTTAGGTACACAGTTATCTGAGTTTTGACAAACATATACAGTCATATAACCATTATCACAGTCAAGATATAGAATATTTCCGTCACCTCAAGAAGTTCCCCTTGTGCCCCTTGTAGTCAATCCCTTTCCTCTACATTCAACCCCTGGCAACCACTGCTCTAATATCTGTTCATATAATTTTGGCTTTTCCACAATGTCATGTAAATGGAATCATACAGTATGTTGCCTTTTGTGTCTGGCTTCTTTCATTTAGTATAATGCCTTTGATATTCATCTGTGTTGTTGCATGTATGTATCAGGAGTTTGTTTTATTTTATCGTTGACTAGTATTCCATTGTGCGGCGGTACTACAATTTTATATTTTCACCAGTTGATGGACATTTGGGTATTTCCAGTTTTGAGTGATTTCCTGAATAAAGCTGATGTAAACATTTGCATACAGGCCTTTGTGTAGACATATATCTGTATTCTTTTCTATTGAGTAGATACCTAGGAGTGGAATTGTTGGGTCGTAAGGTATGTGTATGTTTAACTTTATAAGAAACTACCAAATGTTTTCCAAATTGACCCTACCAGTTTACATTTCCACCAGCAATGTATGAGAGTTCTATTGCTCGGCATCCTTGCCAGCACTTGATTTTTATAATTTTGTGTTGATTTTAGCCATTCTAATAGGAGCGTGGAGACCTGGTGGTGCAGTGGTTAGGAACTTGGCTGCTAACCAAAAGGTTGGCAGTTTGAATCCACCTGCCGCTCCTTGGAAGCCCTATGGGACAGTTCTACTCTGCCCTATAGGGTCGCTATGAGTTGGAATTGACTTGATGGCGATGGGTTTGTTTTTTTTTTTTTGTTTGTTTGTTTGTTTAATAGGACTGTAGTGGTATTTCATAGTGATTTTGATTTTTCCTCTTGAAGGGCATAGGAGTTTGGCCCTTTTGCCTCTTTCACTTCCACTGTCTACTCTTCTACC